TTGTTATCCCTTATTTCATATACGTGGGTTTTCCGAAGGTTTACCGAAACATTTTTTGTTTCGGGTAATACTTCATTTGATGTTGATGGATTATTAATATTTATTTCTGATTCTTGTGAAGTGCAAGTGGTGGGCTTATTCAGTATTGAACATGTTATTTGGTTGCATATTTTCTTTTTGTTATTGAAGGAGTCCTCTATGTAGCCTTCGGCAACTGTATTTGATTTCCAACCACCGTGTCGCTTTAACGTTATTATATCAGCTCCAGAATCTGCTAACAATGTTGCGGAAGTGCGACGGAAAGTATGGCCAGTGTATGATTGAGGATCTGGTAGTTTAAGATATGATGCTATGATTCTTGGTATTTTGACAAATTTATTTAATCCAATTGGTTGTCTAGTGCATCGTCCGTTTTGGTAATTCAGGAAAAATCTTGAATTTTCGACATCTTTTGGTCTCAAAGTTATATATTTTTTAAAAATGCTGTAGAATTCATCGGTTATTACAAAGGATCTTGGTTTGTAATTTTTTGTTTTTGGAATTTTTACTAGCAATATAGATCCTTTGTCTTCAATATCATTAATTGTTATTTGGGTCAGTTCTTCTCTTCTACATGCGCCACAAATTCCAAAAATCATAGCTACCTGTAAATTGAGTATACGTGTAGATTATGTATAAAATTTTTTGTTGATTATAGAAATTTATTTGTATGTTTTAATTTTAATATTTACCTTCGTATCCAAATATGTGTCGTCAGGAGCTTCATTCAGAAATATTTGAATTTGTTCTGGTGTTAAAACTTGTGATTTTTTAGATTGAAATCCTTGTGATTTTCTTTTGAGAAATGCCGTAAGTTTTTTATAATTGTGAATGTTAATGTCATTGTTGATGCTCAGAGTGGTCTTCAGCATCGAGTAATTTGCCCACAAAGTGGTTGGTTTGTGATTGTGTGACATTTCCGTAAAATACGTTAAGAGTGTATTTTCAGAAAATGATTTAACTTTATTTTTAGTTCTCCAGTCCATAAATTTATTATAGGCAGTAGTATATTTTTCTTTTGATTTTTCCGGCAAGAGATTTTCGATTGCGGTTTTAGCAGTTTCCACTACTTCTGCAGGTGTAAGGCTCTCACTATCTGTCTCATTTATGACACTCATATTTGATGTCATTGCTTAATGTCACTATTAATTACTAATAAACTTTGTAAAAACTTTGAGGTTAACCTGTCATCTGTCGAAGACGTCGAAGTGTAGTGACATGCGCAAGCGCTGTAACACGCGCAAGCGCTGCAACACGCGCATGCGATGTACACTTGGCGAGCATGCGCACATCTCTAAACTTTGCTCGTTTGACAGGTATTCCAACCTAAAGATATGTGTGTTGGCAGATGGCGTGTGGAAGAGAGATCGGCAATTGTGCTGGGAGATAAACGAAGACAGCGATAAAGTGTGCGGTAATAATTTTACCGCACGGCTTTTTCCCTTAGAACATATATACCTGGAAGGGGAATGAAGGCTTGAGCCTGTGTCCAAGTTGGGTGCGAGAGAGAAAGGTAGAGATTAACCTTTGCTCGCAATGCGCAAGCGTAGAGATGACGTCACGTCACGTTCACCGTGCTGTTTCCTCCGGACACATTTCAATTCCCTATTCCCCAATAGGGGAACGTGACGTGACGTCATCTCTACGCTTGCGCATTGCGAGCAAAGGTTAATCTCTACCTTTCTCTCTCGCACCCAACTTGGACACAGATCTTTTCCACGGGAAGTATAGGGCATTCCCCTTCCAGGTATATATGTTCTAAAATCTAAGGTGTGAGCCGCATGACTAATCCCCCCCTCCACCTTCTATATAATAAAATTAATATCGAGAAAAAAAAGACGGCTCGCCGGGAATCGAACTCGGCTCGCGCGGTTGACAGTCTGACACTTAACGCATGCGGCTATCACGTACACTTGATAAATTAAAATTCTAAAAAGTGATATATAAGGTGCACGCGTATGCGGCTATCGTGTACACTTGATAAACATTTCCCTCTCCACCGTCTACAGACTTTCCTATGATATATATAAATCAGTTCGC